CAGAGCCCGACGCGGGGCTCGAACTCACGGACCGCGAGATCGTGACCTGGCTGAAGTCGGACGCTTAACCGACTGCGCCACCCAGGCGCTCCATGGATATCATTTCTTCTAAGTATCAGAGTTCAAATTTCAAGACTGAAAATGCCTTTTTCTTTTTTGATTCCAGTACCCAAAAATATTGCTTGGGCTATCAATTAAGCAGGTATATATCCATTTTAGCAGCAATTGCATTACTCTGGCACTTTGCACTGATACTCTTAAATGCCAATGCTATTTTTATACTACTTACTTAGCATAAAAATCATGAAAGAAATCCACGGTTTAAAATCATATGCATTTTAAAAGACCGGGAGAATATATTTCCATAGTTTAACAAACTTTAGTAATAAATCATATCATCACAATATTAGTAATGACAACCTACCAGGACATTACAGAGGGAACACTGCTTCTTTCTTTCATAAGGAGTCAGTTTGGGGGCATAATCAGTATTTGCATGCCGCCCACTGCTTAACTCAGCAGCTTTTTCTTTTCTTTGTTCAATCTGTTCCATGTGCCTTCGAATGCTTTCATCATGCTGTGAATGAAGTCAAAGCGTGAGAATATAAAAATGATGCAAATTATACGGAGAACTTAAAAAAACAGTATTTCCATTAAAGTTTCTACAATAATAGAAGAAATGTCTTCATTCAATGTTGACATGAACACTAAGAATAAGAATTTACATAAAGCCCTTTAATATCTCCTACATGCACAGTAACGTCTCTTAGAGTGTGCTTTTTGGAACAACACCATGATATTGTAAGTGCTTTGTGGAAAAGGTTCTATCCGCAAATAAATTTGGAAAACACTACATTAAAGCAAAACAGGTTTTTAACACTGAACTATACGGAGCCTGTAGTATGTCTCTGTGCATTGTGACTCAATAAGCCTAGCTCATACTAAAAAACATTTTACACACTTAATTGACTACAACACACTTTTGAGAAGCACTTCTGGGAACACACTTTCGGAAATGTTGACCCCTACGTAAAGACCAAGCATATCCTCATAGCAGACAAACCCCATCATGATGCAGACTTCTACCACACCAACCTCACACCACCATTTCTGGTTGCTCCACACCTCCAGTGACTTACCCCCAAAACAAAAAACATAACCAAGCTGAAAAAACACAATTCCAGAATTCTGACTTAACACTCATACTTTTTCATATGATTGGAAATGTCATCCCACCCACCTACCTATTCTCCTACCCATTCAAGATTCAGCTCAGGAGTTATTCTCTAAAATTCTTTCCTGACTTCTGAAATGCTTCATATTAAACTCAGTGTCCTCATCCATACTTTCACAGCACTCCAAGTAATATGTCCATATGGAAATTATCTGTTTAGCAACTGATTCTCACACTACATTAAGAGTTTCTTGGAATTTAGAATCATGACTTACTCATCTCATTAACCCCACGTCTACTACAAGGCTCAACAGATTTTTGGTACATTAAGTTTTAGTGAATGATAAAGTCCTGTAATAAAATATGGCCCTCTACCTTATGGAATGTACTATCTCTGTGAGGAGACAATGTATAAGTAATTGTTACACAGTGTAAAATATACTGCTAGAAACTGTATTACTAATGGTAAAGATTTTCTAGAAAACAGCAGTTTATCACAATTTCCCAAGTTACAATCGCACAATTCACAGGCACTGAAAATCAAGTGAAACTAATTATACTAATCATTTTTTGTTTATTTGTAAATAATTAAAAAGTATAAGTATCAGAAACCAAAGAGTAATGCCTTCAAGTCACTAACAAATTGGTTAGTAAAAACAGGAAAGTTAAAATTCCTTTAATTATTCTCATCATTTTATCATATTAAAATAAATTTTTCAGACAGTTGAATTAGAATGGACCAAAACCAAATCATGTAAATCTTATTAACCAAATATTAAGAATACAAATTAAAATGTTATACAATCCCTTAAATAAAAGATTTAATCTCATGTGCCATTGAAAGCTGTAAAATTTCAAATTGAAATATATACTATCCTTACCTTAAGCTGAATTTTTTTTTGGAGCTCTTCCATTGCTTCTTGTTGAGCAGCTGTGAGTGCAGCCAATCGCTCTTCCCTATCTCTGTAAGAAGATAGTAAAAAAATGATACACTCAACTGCTTGGAGAATCGAACTTCACGAGGTTAAAAATGATTAGGATACATAGGCTTATATATTCTACAGGATTATTATTTTTTAAATTATTCTTTCTGAGTGCCTATGTCCCAAATACACTGCTCAATAAATGTTTAAAAAGCAACACAAGTTTTCAGTTATAAAAATAGGTTTCTGGAGGCATCTGGGTGGCTCAGTCAGTTAAGCATCTGACTTCAGCTCAGGTCTTGATCTCATGGTTCGTGAGCTCCAGCCCACATTGGGTTTTCTGCTGCCAGCATAGAGCCTGCTTCAAATCCCTTGTCTCCCTCTCTCTCTCTCTGCACCTCCCCTGACAGCACTCTCTCCCTGTCAAAAATAAATAAATGTTAAAAAGAAATTTAAAAATAATAGATTTCTGGACACAGACCCAGGTATGGATTTAAATACTAACTACCACTGGAACTCTCATTTAAATATGGCATGTTGAGAGGGAGGAGTTAAATTGGCAACAAGTAGGGAGATCCTAAACTTGTCTTGTTCCTCCAAAACACCAAACAGACCTCACAATGATTTGATAAAAATCATTCTTAACACCCAAGAAATCAACCAGAGGTCTAAGAAAACAAAAACTGCAAGTCTACAAGTAGAAAAGCAACCACCTTTTGGAAGGCAGGAGGTGCAGAGAGTGGTCTTCGGGGAAACATAGCTGTGGGTATAGCAGTGGGGAGGGAGCCTACTTATGGAGGCTATCGCAAAGTATTATAAGCAGTGGAGTGCAAAATCTGAACTTGTAGAAGTCTGCTACATTGGAGGAATTGCCTGGCTTAAAGGTGCCCAAGTAGCAAAGCAGGGAGGAATCCCAGGAGTGACAGCCAGCGTGGTCTGAGGACCCCCTCGGTCACAAAAAGGACAGGTGGGGCAAAGGTGCTGCACTACATCCAGGCACAGGAGCAGAATAAAGGCTGAGGGCAGCAAGCAGAGTTGTTGGTGTTCTGCTACATTTTGACATAAACCCTGAACTGCTACAGTCCTGCCACTGTTTTCCTCCCACAGGCCAGCAAAAGCATTCCAAGGCCCTCCCCCAGAAAAAAAGCAATGGTCCATGCCTACAGAGTCCCTAAAATTTGGAGGAGTTCTGAAACTCAGTCATGGGCCTGAGATAAAGAAGCTAGGACACAGGTAGAGTGAATGCAGGGTTCTGACTGAAACAGGGGTGACAAGAGGGGTGACTGATTGTTCTTCTGTGAGGGTTCCCTGAAGAGTAGGAGGCATTATCTTTCAGCTCTGGGGCTAGAGAGGGGAGCACAGCCATATTCAACTCACCCATCAGCATGGAGAGCCCTCAGGGAGCAAAACTATATCCACTAGCAGAGGCCAGAGCTGTTTACACCAAGCCCCACCCCCCCCATGCCCTGAAGGCACATTTCCACTGCAACAAGTCAGCCTGAGAATCAGCACAGCAGGCCTCTTCCCCAGAAAAACAGCATAAGCAACTTGCTTGCACCAAGTCTATGGATCAAAAAGTATACAAAGCTTCAGATCTAGGGGAAAAAAGATCTAGCTTACTGTTTGCTTTTACTACCCTTTGATCCAGCAATGGCACTATTAGGTATTTACCCAAAGGATACAAAAATACAGATTCAAAGGGGTATATGCACCCCAATGTTTATAGCACCATTCTTAACAATAGCATATTATGGAGAGCCCAAATGTCCATCAAATGATGAATGGGTAAAGTAGATGTGGGGTTTGTGTGTGTGTGTGTGTGAGACACACACACACACACACTTGAATATTAGCCAGCAAAAAGAATGAAATCTTGCCATTTACAATGACATTGATGGAACTAGAAGGTATTATGCTAAGAGAGATAAGTCAAACAGAGAAAGATAATTACCATATGATTTCACTCACATGGAATTTAAACAACAAAACAGATGAACATAGGGGAAGGAAGGGTAGGGGAAGAAGATGAGAGAGGGAAACAAACCACAAGAAACTCTCAATGACAGAGAACAAACTGAGGGTTGTTGGAGGGAGGTGGGTGGGAGATGAGCTAGATGGGTGATTCGTATTAAGGAGGGCACTTGTGCTGAGTACTGGGTGTTGCATATAAATGATGAATCACTGAATTCTACTCCTGAAACCAATATTGCATTGTATGTTAACTAAAATTTAAAATAAATAAAATAAATAAAAAATACACACGGCATGTTGAAAACATATTTATTTCTGTTCCCTTCCAAAAAACCACAAGAAATGAATAGAATAGGCATAAACTCACAAAGACAAAAATAACAGGAAAAGAAACAATCATAAATTATGAGACATACAAAGAAGCATGACCAGGCTTTGAAAAAATCAGTCAACTAGGTGCGCCTGGGTGGTTCAGTCAGTTAAGCATCAGACTTCAGCTCAGGTCACAATCTCACAGTTTGTGAGTTCAAGCCCTGCACTGGGCTCCACATTGACAGTGTGGAGCCTGCTTGGGATGCTCTCTCTCCCTCCCTCTCTCTGTCCCTCCCCCATGTATGCTTTCTCTCGTACTCTCTGAAAAATAAACATAAAAAAAAAAAAAGAAAAGAAAAAGCAGTCAATTGAAACTGTCCCTGAATGAGGCCATATGCTGTATTTAGTAGACAAAGACTACAAAACAGCTGTTACAAATAAGTTCAAAGAAGTAAAAGAAAGTATGCCAAACTAAAGAAAAATATTATGGCAATGATTCAACAAATAGGGAATCTCAACAGAAAAATAGAAAGTTTTTTTAAAAACCTTTCCAATAAAAGGAACCAAGAATCCTTAAACAAATGGATGATTCCATATGAAATAGCTCCCAATGTCCAAAGCTGGAACAATTTGAGTAACAATATAAATAATACTGGTTTACAGCACAATGTATAAAATAAATATATATAAGTCCACACTGACATTAAAAAAAAACACTTAAATGAATAGGAGAGAATAGACAACTGTCCTGTACAGAAAAATTATAAACAATTAACGTAGGAATTCTTCCCTCAAGGAGGTAAAGAATAATTCCCCACCTTTTCAGCATGGCCTATGCTTAGTGGCTTGCTTCCACCGGGGACAGCATAGAGAAATTTTTACAGTAACAATGGAGAAACCTGACAAACACTAGCTTACCCAAGTGATCAAGGTTAATAAAATCAGTGATAAGTCCAATTGATAGCATGAACCTCTGACATGTTACAAGTGGTAATTCACAGTCACGTCTGTGCTCTTCTTCCCCAAAAGCTATAACATCAATTTCACCATAAGAAGAGCATCAGACAAGTCCTACCTGAGGAACACTCTACAATATACCTGACCACTACCTAAAACTGTCAAGGTCATCAAAACCATGCAAAGTTTAAGAAACTGTGACAACTCAGAAGAGAAATGACAAATATCTGAACAAATAATGGCCAAACACTTCCCAAACTTGATATGTACAGAACAGAATAACCATGAAGACAATAAACCTAGACAAATCAGAATGAAACTGGTTACACACAGGCAGAAAATTCTGAGAGCAGGAAGAAAAAAACAACTCACCATATACAGAGGAAAAACCAATATGATTAATGGCTAACTTTTCATCAGAAAAAAACAGAAGTCAAAAAATTCAAACTACTGAAAACAAAAAAGAAAAAAAACAAGAACTCTAAATAAATCTGCCAAAAATATCATTCAGAATGAAGGAAAACACCAATGATACTTCAACAAAAATTTTTAAAAACAGAAACAAAATGAAGGCAAAATATTCCTAGATAAGTGAATACCAAGATAATTCAATGACAGCAAAACTCCCTTCGTAGAAAATACTGAAGAAAGGCCATCTAGCTAAAGAGAAATTATGCCAAAAAGTAACCTGAATCCATAAACAAAGAAAATGAAGTACACCAGAAATGGTAAATATGTTAATTAGTATAAAGGAACTTATAAATGTATTTTCTCTTTTACTCTAATTTCTTTGAAAAATGTGACACTACATAAAGAGATAATTCTATCACTGGATGGTTGAGTTTACCACATATATAGATATATGTGACAATGACAACACTAGAGGAAAAGGATATAGACCTATAGTGGAACAAAGTTACTCTATCTTACCAAAATTAAGTTTGTTTTAATCAAAAGTAGATTTTAATAATCTACTTCTTTACTTTGTATTGTAGTAAAGAGAGCAACCACTAAGCAAACAACTAAAATAATAGTTTTAAAAATCAAGAGAAAAATTTAAATAACACACTAAAAAAGTATTAAGAAAAAAAGCAGTAGTAAGAGAACAAAAAAAACTTGAGACGTATAGAAAACAAGGATCAAAATAGAAAATATAAATGTAATTATATCAATAATTATATTCAATGAGAATGGACAAAACACTTTCATGAAAAAGCAGAAACTAGCAGACTAGATCAAAAAGTAACTTCAACTTTATTTAGACCATAAGAGACACAGGTTAGATAAAAAAGGCACAAAAGTATGAATGTAGAAGGACAGAAAAAGACATTTTATGTAACCTATAGCCATGGCTATATTTAAAATAGAAAAAAATTGACTTTATAGCAAGAAATATTTTTGTTTTAATGTGAAAGAGGAACATTTCATAATGATGGAAGGGTCAATACCCAAGGAAGATATTATATGCCCCTAACATTGAGACACCAAAATACACAAAGCAAAAATTGTCAAAACTGAGAATATAAATAGACAATTCAACAGTATTTCAAAAGCATATGGAAGTCAATGAAAGTGATAACACCACAACCCAAAACTTCTGGGATGCAGCAAAGGCAGTCATAAGAGGAAAGTATACAGCAATCTAGGCTTTCCTAAAGAAGGAAGAAAGGTCTCAGATACAGAACCTAACCTTACACCTTAAAGAGCTGGAAAAAGAATAGCAAATAAAACTCAAAACCGGCAGAAGACAGGAAATAATAAAGATTAGAGCAGAAATTAATGCTATCAAAACCCAAAAAA